TGTGTGTTTGTTGTGTCGTACTTTTCATTGTCTTGTCAGTTACACTATTTTTTTTGAATTAAGAGTTATATTCAATAGGTGAAGGGTCTAATCTATCTACCTTGAGGTTGCGGAAGGTGACGACTTCGCCGAATTTCTGGAGCGCGGTCAGGATTTGTTTGCTTTCTGTTAGGGAGCGCGGCATCGGGGTCGTTGTTATGTGGATTGATTGGGCTGCGAGGCGGGCGGCCATTTTGTCTGGGGGGGGGGGGTTCTTTGTTGCTTTTCTTGTTCTTCTTTTTTGGTGGGTTGAGGTTGGGGTTGGATTTGAGGGAGTCGGAGTTGGCGGAAATAATGGATGGATGGATTGATTGATAGTGTTGATAAGGCAGCTTGGGCTTGGCGTGGGATTTTTAGTTGCGAAACTTTAACTTAGTTCTCAGGTACTGGAGTATACTTCATACATCATGTATTGTTTGGAATTCTGGAATTATATCTAGGCTTGGAATTGCCTTCGCTATTACTTCTTCTCGGTGGATGTTGGCAATCGTTTGAAAGATTGTAACATCATCACTCTATCACTACGCGCTTATCAGGGTCGCTGAGTGCTGCTGATACTGCAGGATCGAGGCGTCCCACTGACCTCAGTCTATGGCGGGAGTCATCCACCGGATATAGTTCCATTTTTTTTTCCCATGGTAGAATACCTACATCCCAAGGAGTAGTCCTATGTTGTGGGAGGGTTTTAGGAGGAATGATGATGACGGCGAGTCGGCCGTTCAGACTAAATCTTTCGGGGCCGAGAAGGCATCTCAAAGCAAGAGAGCCCAAAAGAAGATACGCTACCATTACTACGCATGTAGATATTATTCATATTCAGGCACTAAACGGTCTTTGCCAAATGGGTTATCATAACTATTTACTCAAGTCATCATGTACATTTTATATCGCAGATCATCACACATCTCTCGCGGGCAACGTCCCATCTTAGAAGATAGGAACGTACATGCCGTATCCAAGAGGGTCATTGAACCGCAAGCCCTGGTCCAATGAGCTGATGGCCTCCAACTCAGTCTTCTCCAGATCCCACCCAGTGACCTCCAGGTTCAGCGCCAGACGGGTGGGGTTGTTGCTCTTGGGGATGACCGCAATGCCGCGCTGGGTGGCCCAGCGCAGCAGTACCTGAGCCGGGGTCTTGCCATACTTGTCGGCGAGGCTCTTAATGGTGTTGTGCTCGAACAAAGGAGTGGTATTGACGGCATTCTTCACCTCCAACTCGAGGAAGCTCAGAGGTCCAAAAGACGAGTACGCCGTGACGGCGATGCCCTCCTTCTGGGCATACTCGACCAGACGAGGCTGGGTCAGGTAGGGGTGGTGTTCAATCTGGAGGGTAGCGGGACGGACGCGCGCATACCGGAGGAGGTCCATGAGCAGCTGGGCGCTGAAGTTGCTAACGCCGATGCTGCGCGCGAGCTTCTTGTCGACCAGCGACTCCATCGCCGTCCAGGTCTCCTGAATGCTGGCGTTGCTGAATTCGATCTTGCCGCTCTCCGAGTTCCATCCGGGGGGGTAGCGGACAGCCGGGTCAACGTACTTCAGGGCAACGGGGAAGTGCACGATGTACAGGTCGAAGTATTCGACGCCCCAGTCAGCCAGCTGCTTGCGGCAGACGGGCTCGACGCGGTCGCCCTCGTGGAAACTGTTCCACAGCTTGGAAACAATGAAGAGATCCTCGCGCTTGACGATGCCCTCCTTGATGGCGCGGGCGACACCCTGGCCACATTCAACTTCGTTGCCGTAGTCTGGACGACCGTATTAGATTGCCCCCGGAACCCTTCACAGTAGGAGGTGGTAACATACCGCATGCGCCGTCAAAGAGACGGTAACCGGCCTTGATGGTTCGTAAACCTGATCCGCGCATGTCTCGTTGTTTACCTTCCAGAGGCCAAAACCCACGAGGGGCATGTCAAATCCGCTGTTCAGCTTGACGGTAGGAGGAGCCATTGTGATTATTGTGTGGAGAGATCGCGGTTAACGAGAAGAACGACAGTGTGATTGCAACTGAGAGGAGAGTACAGAAGTGTTAAAGAACGAGGGGGCATCGATCAGCTTTTGGGGATTGCCCCCGCGCATATTCTTCCAAAAAACCCTCATTTTGGGGTACGGCCATACCCACTCGGGATAAATGCAACAAGGCCCATAGGAGGAATGGAACTGTCTTGAGGCTAAAGTGGAGCTGGACGAGATGCGACAGTACCATTCCGGCTAAATGCGACCCTCCGGCTAAATGCGGACCAGTAAACCCCGTACTAACCGTCCCTGTTTCACGGGACCCAAATCCCGCCAATCACTCAAGGATAAAAGTATCAACTCGGACATTAGAATAGATAGTATAGATGACTACAGTACACAATTGGTATCAGACTAAAAGTACATCCCAAAGTTGAAACAAAAAATAAAAGACCCAAACCCCCGCGCAGAGCATGCTCCAGCATCCCCCACAAAACTCCGGTGCCAGAAACTAAAATACAAAATCCCCGAAACCCAGCGACACTTTTGCTTGCCATTATTATCATTAAGAGACATCCTTCAGCTCGATTATTGATTAGTAATTCTTCATTATGCGGCCTCGACCGCGTTGTTCTCAGCATAGGTGTGATTAATGTGGCCATGGCCTGCCCCATGGATACTAGGATCACCAGGCATACTCCCCACGATGAGATCGTCTGGGCCCAGCAACGCCTCCAAGTGGTTGTGCGGATGGGATTCCCGTGAGACAGATGGCACATGGTGATCGGGAAACTGCAGGTGGCTATAATTGCTCGAGCCAACATCAGTGATGCTCGAAGTAGGAGTCGGCCAAGGTGCATGACTGTGACTCATGTCATCGATCGATTGAGTGCTGGACCCAAATAGGCCATTGTTCAAAACATGGCTGGTATCAGGCAGGCTCACCCCAGGATGCTGGGGCGTTCCATACTGATTATCATGCCCACTTAGGTTGTATGTATTGAGATTGGTGTGTGAAAGGGACATATCAGGTATGCTAAGCATCCCTGGTCCTCCAGTAGAACCATTGAGACTCGTTGGCTGGCTGACTTCGGATTGCAGATTGGGGTAGGTGTCTGGCACGGAGGTGACGGCAGTTTTGTCATAAAGGCCACCCTCTGGCTTAGTGAGAGAGTTGAGAAGGTCAAAGCCTCCGCTTGCATTGAATATACTGTCCGGCGGTGGCTGGTACATGGACCATTGAGGTTGCGAAGCACCACTATGATGCACCAAGTCGTGTGACTGCGGGGCTTGGTAAATGCTTGGGGCAGGCCTAGCTAGAGAGTTCGTGTCAAAGGACAAGGGAGGGAGGTCGATCCCCGTTACGGGCTTCGGGCTAGGGATCGCATTACGGTCGGGGGATGGCGGAGTCACCCGGCGCCATGTGGTAGTGCCGACTTCGTTTGGTCGCGTTCGCCGGAATTGCCAAATCAGGATGGCCATTCTTTTGCTTCCATCCGAGGAGTTGTCAGGGTACTGGTTCGATACCCGACGAGTACTAGGAGTAGCCCGTATTTCTTGGACTGCCGTCAAGGTACGGAAGTAGTCTCTCATTTGTCTATCAGCAGCCTCGTTTCCCTGCGTGCCTTGGGTGAGCTCCGTGAGTTCCGTAAAACGTTTTGCCCACCACGAAGATTCAAATGGAGGTTTCACTTTGTTCGACTGCTGTCTAGGAAGGTTGCGGCGTTCCTTGAATATGTTGTGACCTTCCTCGTAGATATACGTGTTGCACGACCAGTTCTCCATTTGGTTCGTCAGTGCATCGCCGTTAGGAGGCTGGGTGAAGTCCAGCTCTAGCTGAATCCCGAGTTTCGAACCAGGCGGAGGGAAATCATCCATCAACTCAAGATTGGCCTCCAGTAAGATGATCTCACAGCTCGGTGGGTTGTTAGCATCTGCCATGATTGAGTTGAGATGGGGAAACGAGCTCCGCCAATTAGAGAGATCCTCCAAGCGTTTTGGGGGTGCACCGGGATGACGTTGGTCCCCTTGGAGGCGGGTGTAGATATGGAATGCACTCTCGATCCGCTCTGGCTGACCCGGCGCACTCACCCACATGTCAAAGCTGAGGCCATAGATCATATTAACGTTCGTTGCCTCGGCATGCAGGTTGGGGTTGAAAACAACGTGTGGAGGGGGCAACTCTCCCGGGTAAGATGGCACCGGCCTCAACGAGTCATGATAAGAGGGATAATTGTGGCTGTTGTAATGGCTGGAGAATGGCACTTCCATCGAATTTCTCCAGCGAGGACCGGCTGATGGTGGCTGGCCATTCGAACGGTCTGCTGGTTGCTCCCGCACAAGCCTCTCCCCTACAAAGGCCTGGTTAGATCTGGGTTTGCTCATCGAAGCTATCTAGGCGGGACATACAGTCGGGGTCACCCTTGAGAAAAGAATCCAGGACTTGCAGGTGGCTAGAGACCTGCTTTCTCGACCTCCTTTTCCCAGTAGTTTTGTAGATGTACTCAGCTATCAGTTCATTTCGACCGTAGGATTTGCCACGTTCGGACCATTTTCTTCTCCCCATGGGGGGATTCGCCTCAAGGGCTGATATTGTTAGCACATTCTCCTTGTGTGGCAGCTGTCGTCGTCTTACCTTGCTGGAAAGCATCCTCAAGCTCATCTGACCAAACAGGTTCCCCATCCTTTCCAGTATCTCGGCGAGGCCGTGCCCTGTACTCTATGTACTTTTGGGACTTGAGGTAACTTCTTGTCCTGCGGGGTCCAATCAGGCTCTGGCCAAGTGATTGGAGACGCCGCAGTTTCTTTGTATGGAAACGGTTGTTGAGAACTTGTTGGGCATGAAGGCTGGTGGTAGGCATTGGGTGAGTTGGGACCGGGGGCTGATGAGGGTACTTGAAACCATAATGTGAAAAATGGTCGTCCCGCCCGGTGGGATCCGTGTGCGCCAGGGTGTCAGAGTAGGACTGGATGTTCCCAGAGGTGTTCTGAAGCACTCGACCTGGATGGGGTCCGACACCTTCAAGACCTGGTTGGGTTGGAGGCAACATACATTCGGTCTGCCACTCAGCCATGGAGCGGATCACCTCGAATAGGCTCTCGGAAGAATGACAGATTCCACAGAGTAGGATGTTGAGGGTCACAAATGCTTCTTGCCGGGCAAAGCACGCAGTTACTGGGAAAAATGTAAGAACCTGGGAAAGAGAATGTTCGAGCGAAGAGCATGATGTTTATAGGGAACCCCATTCCCTCCCCTAGTAAAGGAGCGCGAAGGTAGCCCCAGCAGCTACATTGCTGGACCACGCTGTTTGCTTGTTTGGGCGATTCCCCCTCGAGGGCAGCGTCAGTCGCCTGAGGCGCGGGGAAACCCTTGACCTGAGCTTCACGCGTCGATCAGAGCGATGAGGGAGGGACGAGCAGGTGCCGCCTTGTTGCAGCAAATCAGGAGGAAGGGTGGTGCACTGTGGACACCGGCTACCCATGCAAGGGGACATCCAGGGTGCACGATTCAGCGAGCCGCTGCCCGGGGATTTTGGACCTGCACGACATGATCATTGACTGGAGCCACCAAGCCAGGTACCGATGAGCAATGATGGGCGAGTTTGTGGCAAAGACCTCTCTTTGGAATGCCCAGCATCCAACAACATCGGGCGAGGCGATCATCCAAGAATGCGCGGTGGGTTACAGGCAGAGCCAGCGGAATGTAGGTTGGAAAACAACGACCGCACCCTGCTTTCAACCTGATATCCAGGGTGCAGACATACGAAAGGTAACAGTAGAGGACGAGGGGTAGACGAGATGCTAGGATCGAACAAGGATACATGGGGATAAAAAAAGATAAGGCTTCATTAAGATGCACGAGGCGACGGAACTTTGCAGAACGCGTCTGCAGAGGCACAGTCCTGACAGCAGGAACGTGTGAAAAGGCCCAAAGGTGTTCCGCCAAGCAAGGGGTATATTCTCACAAACACAAAAGATAGCAGCAGCACCATTACTATTCATTAACCCTATCAACAGGGAGAAGGGCAGAAGGAGAAAGGACTTTAGTTTTCCTCGTCCTGGGCCCCTACAGTAAATTTTTTCCGTCCAGCACCCGTGAGCTTCTGTAGTTTGATCCGGTCCAACTGCTCCCCTACTTTCTTTTCGATCTGCTGGATCTCTTGCTCCGCATCGATGGCCTCCTCGTTTGCAAATTCCAATACCAGTTTTCTGCCCAACAGATGGGTGTTCTTCAATGCGTCCATGGCATTTTCCGCTTCGCGAGCGCTTACGAAGTCTGCAAAACCGAAACCACGAGTCGAGCGGTCAAATTTCTTAGGAACACGCACAGAGCGAAGCTGGCCGTAGGCTCCAAAGAGTGATCTGACATCCTTCTTGGTCGCTTGGAATGGCAAGTTCTTAATGATAATCTTCGTCCTCCTAGCTGCGATTTTCTTCGCAGTATCATCACGTCGTCTTTCTTCAGCGGCGTCCATACCTTTATGCGATGACCTAACTACCAGTGCATGCTGATCGAGCTTGTATCCATTCATTGCAGCAAGAGCGGCTTGAGCTTGATCTTTGGTCCTAAAGTCAACAAAGCCAAAGCCCATACTGAGCGTCTGACCAGGTCGTTTGGGATCGGGCTTGGTCTTGATCCTCGCCGACACGAACCCATCCAACGGCTGGAAGACTTCAACGAAACGTGTATTCGTTGTGTCAAAGTTGAGATTCTTTACGAAGAGAGTTGCGGTAGCAATAGCCTGTTCAGGCTCATCTGCCGCGAACGTGTCAGCAGTCGAGAAACCTTGGGAGATGGCCTTGGTTTCCACAGTTGGTTTCTGTGGGACAACAGATGCATCGAAGAGGTTCTTGGGGGCTTTTTCTAGGAAGAGGATAGAATCTCCCAGCTTCCGGTACGCCAGACCCTTGAATGCCTTTTGAGCCTCATCTGGTCTTGCAAACTCAACAATCGCTATTGTGCCACTGGGAGGCATCAGTAGTCTTGTGAGTTGGCCATACGGCTCGAACAGCTTCCTAAGCTCGTCAGTCTTGACGCCATAAGAAAAGTTCTTTACTAAGATAGCAGTGTTTCCACGCTCTCGTTCTTTAAAAGCATCAATGTTGACACCATTTGCAGTGAAGTAAGCCTTCGTTTCTTGAATAACGTGCGTTTCAGCATGGGCTTGTTTCACTGCGGCATCAGACGAAGTAGGATCCAAGAGATCTGCTTTGGATATACCAAGTCTCTCGGCCATTGACGACATAACTGCATCGGCCTAGTAGAGAGGCTTGTTAGTATACGATACTCTTAGACTATATCCCAAACTGACTTACGTTCATATAAAGCGAGTTCCAACTGAAGGTTGAAGAAGTAGAGTCTAGCTTTCGCTTAATCTGTTTCTGTTTCTTCAAAGGCAACTTGGACAACTCATAGTCGTCGATCTTATACGTCTTCTTTGCAGCAGCTGGCAGGATGTGCAATAAACGACCTTGGAAGTGTTTTCCGTCGAGGGCTTTGTAGGCCTCTACAGCGGCGTCGGATTCAACATACTGAACGTAAGCAAATCCTTTACTGGAGCTGAACCGAGTATCAAAGGCAACATGAATCTAAATAAATCAGCAATTGTCCCATGAATCTAAAATCACAGTGAATCCAATGTCAAGTTGAGGATATGTTGCTCTTCAGATACTAGAGGCATCTACTAAAATTCTCTTTTCCTGGTCACATCATTTGCTTTGCATCTGATGTCCCTATCAGGATGTTCATCATGCGAGCAACTTTGCATGAAAGGGGGGAAGGAAAGGTAGGGAGGGCACAGAATGAAAATGGAAGACTGACCTCTTCAATCCTGCCAAAGGGAGCGAATACCGGTTCGAGATCGGACTCCTTTGTATCGTAAGATAAGTTTCTCACAAATAAGCGCGCGGAAATGCGAATATTTTCAATGTTTGTATCAACTTCCGGTGCTTTTGTGGGCTCCGCAGTATTAGCCGCGGCCGGAGAAGCATCAGCCTCTGCGTCTTCATTGTCGACTTCAACATCACCTGCTGGCTCCGTTGAATCAGTTGGCCTTTGCGCTGTGGAGTCAAACTCTGCTTGCTCCTCTTCGTCTAGGAGACCGAGAAGACGGCTTGTCTTAGACCGAAGCCAGTCAGCGTCAGATACCGGTTGTTGCTCATCTTCCTGAACCGCGGGCTGCTCTTGGTCCACCGCTTGCTCAGTAGTATCTTCTTCCTTACTTGCATCAACAACCATAGGCTCAGGCTCGTCATGCCGTGACACATGAGCATCTTCTTCAGACGTCTCCCCGAGCTTTGCCTTCTTCCTTTGAGCATAAGTAAGTTCTTGAGAAACTTCATTTGCTTCAACGGGCGGGTCCTTGGCAGGTGAGTCATTGGCAACAGGGTTGATCACGGCATCATCATTGGCCCATGTCTTTGTGTGTGATGAGTGCTGCATGAGGGAAAGATACTCTTGCAGCTTAGGGTCCTGCTGGGTGGGCTCCCCATCACGCTTACGTTTGAGTGTATTCTCTGCAGTCGAGTCAGGCTTATCAGCCTTTTTAAACTTTTGAGCAGCACTGGTAGGCTCGGAGTCGATCTAAAGCAATTCTGGTCAGTCTCAAGACCACCTTTATCGGTCAGCGTGCGCAATGGGAATGGGAAACAGAAAGCCAGATCGCCAGGAAGAAGCCACATACCGGTTTAGCAATATCTACAGAGATCTTGGACATCTTGACATATGTCTTGTTGAAGTATTTAGCAGCTTCCTGGGCCGCCTCGGGGGTCTTCAAGCCCACAAAGCCAATCCTGCGTTTGGGTAATACATGAGCGTCGGTAACTTGGAAGCGACTAGCAAAGTGCTTCCTAAGTTGATCATTGGAGAATGTTGGCGGAAGGCCAGAGACAAATACTCTTGTGCTTTCCATGATTGTGTCCTGTGGCTGCCTTTCCCAAAGCCAGCAGGGAATGGAATGTATAGAAGAAAAAAAAAAGCCCCAAAAATTTTTTAGTTTATGCCGCTTCCTTATAGTGCCGGCAAAGGCGGTGAGAAAAGTGGGCGTGGCCCGTGCGTATCCACACGGTTGCTCCTCAGCAACCACGATAGCCCAACGTCTACTTCCGGAGGCAATTCGGCGGAACGCTGTGTACTGTTGGACTACCTTAGAGACGCAAATCTCCAGTTTACTCCCTTGCTTATTGTTGAAGCTTTTCCAGCACCCTCAACCGACCAAAATGTCTTCCGAAAAGAAGGATAAGCTCGAGCGTGAGTGCAGCTTCAGCGGCATCTTCCACATGACTAACATTATGGGGCAGCGCAAATCAAGTCCGTCGATATGGTAAGCGTGTTGCCACTAGAATTGGAGGTCTAATTGCTTATGGTATGAAAGACGGAGGATATGCAGCAGGAAGCTGTCGAAGTTGGTATGATTCATCGGGTATCCCCACGGAGGTGATTGCGACTAATTGTTTAGCGATCGAGGCAATGGAGAAGTACCACATTGAGAAGGTTGGTCACAACGATTGTTCGTCGACTCGGTAGGGTGCTAATTATTATTAGGACATTGCCCAGTATATCAAGCGAGAGGTCAGCGTTTCCTCCGATAACACCACAGCCCCTCACTCACAGTCTACAGTTTGACTCGCGCAAAGGAGCTACATGGCATTGTGTCGTAGGGAGGAATTTCGGAAGCTTTGTCACACACGGTACGGACTTTTGTGCACTGACCTGCCGTGGTGTTGCTAATTCAATTCAGAGACAAAACACTTCATTTACTTCTACCTCGGACACTGCGCCATTCTCCTCTTCAAGACTCAATAAACACGCCTTGGCATACATGGTTGGAAATAAAAAGAGGGCCGAGTCCTTGGGCGATTGGGGTCTTGACTGCCAATTGGGGCATGCCGCCACAAAATAGAAGCCGGCGACGTATGGGTCTTAACTCGCGACACGATGGACTGTCCCCTGAGATCGGGCGTCATGGCAGTTGGTGCTGCATAATCTTACCTTCCCTTCAGCGGTATTTATTTACATATTCGAGTCCTACATGGTTCAATTTCGGTGTCATTGTATCTTGATGTGAGTTAGATTGGTCATACCAAGCAGATTGTGTGCTGTATGACGGAGTGCCTTGTAGTATAGTAGGCTCGTACCAGCTCGTACCCTAGTAACTATAGAGCCTCCCAGCCAGCTACCACACAGTATTGAATACACACAAATGAGTCCTCACCTCACCTACCTAACCATCATATCACATCCCCAAGTTTCCTCTCCCAAGACATAAAAAACGCCCAAATCCACCAAACACGTGCCACGCATTCCAGAAGAAAGAGAACAGCCAAACGCCAAGTGCCAAGCCACAGCGCCACACGTCACCCCCAATAAGGGATCTCATAATAACGCTGCCTTTCGCCCTTAGACTCAACCTTCACCAACTCAACTCACCTTGATCATAAACCCTCGAGACCAGAAGTCATACTTCCACTTCGTATCATAGACCAGTATCCGCGCAGACCCCATCCACCATGGCAATCTGCATCACGTTCGGAACGCATGGTACGTACAGCGCAACTCTGCATACTAATCCCTCCGTGTATATTTATCCTCCGCACCGACCCGGAAATAAACTCCCCATGCGCCGATGTCTAAATACGACGTCTTCTCGTCTTCATAAGCACTAGGCTAACAGGTTAAATAGAGTTCACGTCCATGCTGCAAGGCTACGAGAATGTCAGGGCTTACTGCTATAACTGTATGTTTACTCCGGTCTTGCTTACTAGGTGTTTGGTTGGCTTGTACCTGACCCGACTAATCAATCATGGTGTTCGGATTAGGCCAACACTACAATGGACATTGTATTACGCGATGGTATGTTCTTTTGCTTTTCTTTCAAGTACTTCCATTCGATGCGTGAATGGGCCTGATTGCTAATTGCTCTAGGCCCTGGTTTACCGTCTGCTTCATTGTATGTTGCGTTCCCGATCTGGTTGCAATAGCTCTTACTACTATCATCACCCAGAATATCCAACTAACATGAACCGTAACCCACCAGCCCATGATCCCGCTAGCAACACACAAGTACAAGGTAAATATCTGCTTCAACCATTTCTTAGCCCCCACCCAATGAAGAATAAATACTAACAAGCCCCCAGGAAGTCACATGTTACACATGTCGCTTCACCCAAGACCTACGGTACGTGGTTCCCTAATCAGAATAGTAAAAAGAAAACACTCTGTCCGATCAGACCAACTGACAACAGATAAGTGATCGCCCCGATATCACGCCAGAGACCAGGCCTCCGGTAGGTGCACCGGCTGGCCCAGCACCACCCCCACAGGCCTACTGGGGTCCTCCTCCTCAAGCCTCCGGGGGAGGCGGATATCCCCAGCCTCAGGCCGGGGCACCGCCGCAGAATCCTCAGTATAAGTGATTATGTGCTGGCGTTGACCTTGATTTTCTTATTTTTATTATGTCGAGGGTTTTAGGGATGGGGGTTTGGTCTGGTCGAGAAGCGATGTTAATGATGTGTATATTCTGTTGTTGTACGATACCTTTGCTTCTATTTTATCTACTTGCTTTTTTTTTTATTTCAATTAATGAGGGTTGTATTCCATGATATATGTGCATTCAATCGGTAAGAATTAGTAATAACATTAATAGCGTAACTGGCGTAGAACGAATGGGGTATATAATCAACGCAAAACACAAAATCCCAATCACATCAGTAGGTATGGATGGGCCTGCATCTGGGCACCCAACAGAATCTTGCATATTAAACAACCAAGCTACACGTCCGACTTAGCGCCCACTTTCTCCGTCGGCGTCGCAGAACCAGATGGAGTCTGTTCCTGTCCCTCAAACCTCGGCTTCTTACCAACAGCATCAAGAGCCATAAGCCTAGCCGTACGAATAATACTCTCTCTTCCCTCATACAGTGGGAAAATCACCACTCCTACAGTCGTACAGAAAAGCCAGATGATGCCCACGACAACCCAGCCGGTGAAGAACTTCTTGCTGAACACGTACGAGCTGCCATACATGGGGATTGGCCATAAGAGTAGGAAGCACAGAACCATGCCGATGGTGAGGGTGCGCGAGTAGAGCGCGGCCCTGTTGAGCTTGCGCTCTTCTTCTTGCTCTTTGGCGGGGTTGATGGCGGCGGGGTTGTTTTCGCCGGGGATTAGTTCGATGTCGACGTGTGCGGCTGCTGCGACGTCTGTATCATCAACTTTGCGGATGGCACGCATGGATTCGTAGTCGTAGTTTTGAGGGCCGAATATGTAAGTGAGGACTGGGGAGAATATGATGGGGCTGAGGAGGGCGGCGACGTTTCCAGCGAGCATGGGGTAGCTGGACTTTTGTTAGCTGGGGGGCCGTATTGAGTGAGGTCGAGGACAGGTTGCCTACTTTGCGCCAGTGGTAGCGACGGTCAATACACCGGATTCCTTCTTAGCGGTTACAAGCCATGCGATGAGGGACACGGCGAGGCCCAGAATAGGTGATACAGCTGCTGCGACCCAGTTCTGTGCCTTCCAGACGAGGGTCATCGCGCCTGGGAACACCGCCGAGGAGATGATAACACCCATAAGCAAGTAAAGGTAGCCCATGCCGATACCTGCGTAGTAAAGACCGGTTGCGAAACTGGCCATCGCAATGGCCCAGAAAATACAGGACATGTGAGACACCCACACTAATCTCTTTCCCTTTGCAGAGGGGTTGATATAAGCCTGATAGATATCGTAAGTCAGGATGGAAGAAACAGCAATTAGCTGAGCCGAAAAAGCCGATGTGACTGCCATGAAAATCATGAGTGTGGTGCAGACAGCTCCACTATATCCCAGCAGCTTGACAGCAGCAAAAGGTAAGACAAGGCCGGCAGTTACATCCTCCGAGCTCATGCGCTGAGTACCTTCAAGAGCAAGAGCAGATATTCCCATAGTACTGGCACAGAGCCAAGGAATGGCGAACCAGCAGAGGCCACCAATAACATAACCAGGGAAAGCATGTACGGGGTGCGCAGCAATAGCTATCGCAGTCAGTACTGAAGCAACATAGCACCATTCCATCTCGAGTTTAACACACCTTTGTTGTAATAGCCATTGTCCAGGAAGACAGTACTGAAACACACTGTTAGCATATATCAGACAAGGTTTAGTAAGGTATCTACACACCCAAAGTTACCTAGATTTATAGTTAGCATTAAGCCACAACAAAAGGATACATGTATTCACTTACCGACAAGGTTGATAACCCAGAAGATACCACCCTCCTTTGATCGCATGGTGAGATAGCTGCCCTGAGCATTACCCTCCACAGGATGACGATCAGCCGCCGCAACCAGAGCATCATAAACTTTACCCGGAGATCCAAGAGTATCGTTAGACGCGTAAGCGGAGAATGCATAGATGAATATAACGACGATGATAACCACGGTGTGCATATAGTCGGTGATAAAAGTTGCTTTGATGCCACCGAAGAGCGTATAGAGCACAACACCAATGGGGAGCAGGAAACAAGCTGCAACGGTATTGACTCCAGTTAAGGATGTCAAGACAGCAGATCCACCAGTGAGCAACATTGCGGTGACAAGAATATTGGTCATCAAGCAAAACACAATGAAGACCACATGGACAGCAGTGCCATATCGAGCGCGAATGACTTCCAGGAACGTATGCGCATTTGGGGCTCGTCTTTTGAGTTCAATGGCGAGCGTCGCAAATAGAATAATCTGCACGCAGGCACCTGGGATCCATGTGGTTAGTGATAAAGCCCACTGTTTCTTCGGCCACACTAACCTGATGCATAGAAGAATGGCCCCGAAACTCCGTACTGATAGGCTACTGCAGAGGATTGCAGAAGGGTGGCAGCCCAAGTCCAGCTACTTACGACAGCAGCAGCAACCAAACCTGACTTGACGGATCTTCCTGCAGTTGAAAACATCTCTGAGGTCTGGACTTCATACTGATATCTATAGTGAACAGTCCGTTAGCTCCAGTTCCTCTTACCTAGGTAAAGAGATGTAGCACTTGCCTTTTGAGGGCCCAAGTAATAAAAACCATCACCAAAGCGAATGCGAACCCTAATCCGACAATAATACCATAGCCAAACCCTTGAGACAAGGGAGCAACAAAGTTGGCTGTCTCCGACATGACTGCGACTTTGGTCGGACGATGCCCTTGGATGGTCAATCCGAATGCACGTATTTCCTAATATGGGGTATGAAATTGCAGTTCAAGTATAATAATATAGGCTAATATCAATATAGCGATCCACAAGTAATGATCTCGAGCAGTCTAATACTTTCTGAAAGAAAATCCGCAGGGAAGCGAAGAGTGACTTGATTCATATACTACCTCAAGTAGTACAGCCATGTGCATAGGAGACCTCCGACCTCGCAGAAGACCCTCAGACTGATCAACATCCTTCGTCCCATTGAATCGGGACTCTGGACTGCTCAACCCAGTCATTGTCGTTGCTGAAACTCCGGGGCCTGATAAGGGCTTCATGTTCGTATTCTACCAACGTCACAGCGGACCAGCACATGGAACGAGCTGGCCCGCGATTTTCTTATTTCCATCGCTTATTGACAATCCATAAGGCTCATGGTCCCTATCGTAGTCGACCTTAATCCCCTGGTTATCATTGGCCAATCTTGTTTTCGTCGCCCATCCTTATCAGTGGAGGTTGGATGAACGCCATCGTCGATTGGCTCCGAGACGGCAAACGGTTGATAAGGAACACGGGGCTTTCTGATATCAAGATAGTGGATGCTGACCCAGCTTTTAGGTAAATCACCAACAATGAAACGAAGCTAGAAAACAAACCCTCTAGGCGTGATAACGCTTTCCCTTACTCCAGGTTTCGAGTAATGGATTATCTGCAGTCTCCACGCTCCCGATTGCGCGGAAGCTGGGGAGAGTTAAAGGATCTGATCTCGTTTGATTGAACGAGAGAACCTAAAAAGGAGTCACAAATTGCCCAAGTGGAACTAGCGTCTCTTCTCTATTCAATAATGAAGCTCGCCGTTGTCGATGCAAACCTGGGTCGGGTGCTAGTGGGAAGTTGGGTTGATCTGAGAAAACATATACGAAGTACAGAAGACGGGTTCCTTGTTCCATACTAGTAGATTAAACGTCCTCGTCGCGCTAGCCCTGTCCCTCAGGCAGGGTTTCCTGCCTGGACCAACAGCCAGGCTTACATATCACATGTCCTACCGTCGCTTACAACACAATCAACTTCTAAGGTTCATGTACCCATTGAAAAAGCAACTGATATTATACAAAGCTCTCCTTCCAAACTTTCGGCATGAAAATCTTTCATTAACTGTCACAAGGGTTGGAGGCAGCTCCAACAGTAACATAACAACCAGCACACCTTCCCAACCTATGCTGCAGATAGGCTTTCAACACTCAACTTCGCGAAGTATCGGACGATTCGATTCAAGGATCCCCGCGCACAAGGACAACAACGGATAGGCAACGGACACCATGGGGTATATTATTTCAAAAGGGTAGAAGAGAGTATGGGAGTGAACCCGCCAAAAGCGACCCTCTCAGAATGGCCAAAATCGTTCCAGGAGCAGGGACCGGCTACGCATAGCAAAACAGCCCCGCTCACTCAGAACCTCACTCAGCCAAACCACATGTCGCTCGAGGCAGGCAGGAGAGTGATGGCGAGAGCAGACGCAAAGTCGTTGCTCACGAGGAGAACTTGCGAGTGATCTTGGCGATGACTAAACCCGGACACACATCAGTATCCATTATGGATCGAATTGACCTATCTCAGGTGTTACATACCATGCAAACCAACGACAGAAAAGATGAAGCCCAAGCTCAGAACCAAGACGACAACAGGGTCAACCCTCAAGCCAGGGCTCTCGTCAGTGTAGAGCTTGAGCATGGTACCAGAAGAGCCACCGGCACCGGCAGCGCGAGTCGAGCTGGGTCTGGCATTGCGCAGAGACTCCTTGTGGTCGGCAGCCGCGCGACGACGCAAAGCAGCTCGAGGACCACCGGGGGGAGTGGGAGAGGAGGTACGGGCGATGGAAGAAACAGAGCCAGCAGCTCCAGCTCCAGCACCAGAAGCCTTGGAGTCTGGGCCAGACTCGGCACCAGAGGTCAGGGGGGAAGCAGCACGGGGAGAAGCCTTAAATTATATTCATATTAGCATCACCATTAAGAATTGGGATCCAACATTAGGGGATAAAAGAAAGCCAATGCGGTGTCTAGGCACGACAGGAGTCCCATCTACCGAAGGACGATCAGTTGGCTCACGAAGGACACTCACCATTTTAAGAAACCGTAGTCAAATGAAGATAATCAAAGAATGTCGTGAAGAATTGAGCGAAATTAAATTTAAGAACGAAGAAAAAAAATGGACTGGTTGGAGAAGGAGGGAAGTCTGCTTGGAAGGGGAAGGGGAATTAAGTGGTAGCTGGCAGAGTTGAGGTCGCAAGTTCACTCAAAAGAGGCCACGCTCACGGTTTCCCATTGGCCGTACTGTCACGTATCGTCACGCCGACCTACCCCAGTTTCCTCCACCAACCACAGCCCGCCTGTGCATCCCCTTCCCACTCATAATGACAGAGGTCACCTTGAACTTCACAGATTGTGACAAACGCACTTGGTGTATACCATGGGAGATACGGTATATTTTGGTGGGGTGTGGGGTGTAACGACACTCCTACTTGCTTTAGTCAAATTACAAGTCAAATAGTCCATATTCTTCCTATGTATTTTATTCCAATTATGTGATAGATACAGTACATAACATATGAGATGCACAGTCGTGAAAAAAAAATAAACTGACATAAGCAAGGATATCAAAGTGCAAGTGTCGGAATCATCGATTGAACGCTGTCAGCGCCCATTTAATAAGGCTGTATGTGGAAGGGCGAGGAAGAGAAGCGAAGTAAAAGGGAAACCCTGACAGCAAACGGAGAAGATAATGGAAATCGTGAGCTAAATCGATCAATGCAGAAAAAGGTATCATATCGCAAATCCCGGAAACACCTTCAAAATACAGTATCCAAGTCGACATATAAGAGCGAATTGCACGCGGTTTGCAAACGTCTCACGTGGATATCTGTGTCCCGATAAAGCGCTTGGTTGTTTTTATATGGACAATTGAACCAAAAGGTTGTTATCTTGAAATCATGAAATTGTACGACCATGCTCGGGCTCAATCGATCATCATCCGATTGGGCACTTGGCCGGCAATGTTTGAAGACAGCTCCGTGGTCTTCTCCTCGTCTTTGCGGGCCTTTTTCCTATTCACGTGCGGTTTCAAGCCCTTGTGGAAGTTATGCATGCACATGCAAGCGTTGATAATAGTCATAACGATGAGAACGAGGGTGATGACGGCGAAAAACGTCAAGGAGCGTTGCGCTTGGAGGTATTCTTGGTACGTGTTCTTGTCGTAAATGCGGTACAGCTTGAACAAGAAATATGCCAGCGCAGCAAAGTAGAGGAGCTATGATAATAGTTAGAGAACTTCTCGAGGGCGGGTAACCGATCAACACGTACAATGATTACGATCATTCCAATAGAACTTTCGCGCCGAACGAAAAGAGCAGCAGCTAACAAAATCAAGATTGTGACCGGGATAGCCGCCAGAGTAAGCGCAAACTCGGCATCGTGCCGGTTAGTGACAATGACCACGAACTGCACAGTAAATCCGAGGAAAAAGAAGAAGTCGAATTTGAGGAGCGCAATGTAGATCTGCCGGTTCAATCAGCTGGAATTCCTTGTCCACTAGGTAGTTCACAACAAACCTGGTATGTGAGGTATCGGCGCTTCATTCGCAAATCAGCGCTGATGTGCTTGTAGATGGACCACGCAAATTCATCGTATAATTTCCAAGCCACGATCATCATCAGCAGCGTGCCCATGGCCACAACGCATGGGATGATGATCAGGAAAGGCTTGATTTGTCCCCACACAGCCGGATCAATGGCTGTATTGTCATTCAAAACTCCGATCGCATCTTTAATTTGTTCCACTTGCACGGCACCGTAGATCAATAGGCCAACGTTGCATACGCACAGCCCGATGACTTGAATGGTATTTTTAAGGCGCAGTGCGTCGTAGACCAGCACTAACTCATAGATGAAACCGAAACTGTACAGTGCTAAAAAGGTCGGAATTGTTTTGGATGCCGTTACATTGACGGCTATCTCATAGAGTTTGAGTTGGAAGTCTGCGAATACGTAACTACGGAGCATCCCGTCAGCATCAGCGATATATCTTTATAGGAACCGCGGTGACAGCACATACCATTCTAGAGCGAGTGTGACGACTGCTTGGAAAAGGGTCACAATACAGAAGGACCACGTCCACATTGAATTTGGTCTATACATCTTGCGTTTCTTAGTGTGCGGGGGCACATTTGCGTACCCTTCTCGCCCTCGAAAACCACCGCCTCGTCGAAATGCCGGGTCAAAAGAACCTCCAAGGAGGGAGGCGCGTGAATTGTTGGTCTGAATTTTGGTGATAGGCTCCGCTACGGAGCTCGTGTCCGCCGGAGTCTCGCTTCTGGGATACAATATGACGGTTCTGACCACCGTATGGCGGCGAAAATGCAGAAAAGGAGTCTAGGAGCCGAAACCCACGGGCGGGGAAAGAGGGTCGGAGAGTTTTATTTTAGACGACCCTATAAGAGGACTTCAGTTTAGGAGGTCTGATCTCGAACTTGGCGGGTTCGACGATGACGGGACCTGAGGCACAAGCCTCCACAGCCTCTTTCAGCCTAACGATGAATGATCCGGGGGAGGAGATGGCCCGAGGAAGACAAGTGAGAACGAGGACGGGGAGGCGCGACTTGGGGATCTCCTTCGAGCGAAGGAGGCTTAATGTCCGCCAAGCCTCGGGTGAAAGGTCGTGTGTTGGGCGGAGAGGCACACTCCGATTGATCGTTCAGGACTGGTGTAAGGCTGAGCACATGCAGAATCACGCGAGGACCCTTCTCAGCGAGTGGCTGGAAATGGGTCAACAAATAGCGACTGATAGGTTTGACTGAACCCCCAAGAATCGAGAGGAGGGGGGGAGGAGAATTCCAAAACGAAAGTGGGTGGTCGAACGAGGGACGATAGGAATGGGTGGTTTGAATATAGGGGAATGCCGATTAGATGCGGGTGAGAAGGAATAATAATACCAGTAATCACGAGGAATGAGGTTAGGTAAGGCACGGTCGGTTCCCCAAACTGCGGGAGAAAGTCGAGAGGCTCGTTTCCTTTTTTATGATTTTTCTAATTTTCGCCGGCAATTACGCAGTCTTTTGACTGACAGGACCACCGATCATTTGGAGTCTGGAGAAGGGGCTTTTTTTTTCTCCTCTCTGTTTGGTTTGGTTGAGAATTTGTGGTACTATTCCAGGGTTTGGGGCGGAGAAAAAAAGAAAGAAAGAAAGAAAATCAACAGAAACAATCCAGACACGCGGAAGAATTGTAGAGTGTGTATTATATACAAAATACAGATACTCTTCTTCTCTTATGGAAAAAAACAATGGGGTTAATAGCCTCACTTGACTTGACAGTTAACGGTAAAAAACTACCTCCCTGTTAATCTGTTTCTTTTTTGGTTTATTATTAGTAGTTCTTTTATTTTTGTTTTCATTTTATTACGCCAGGAACTTTGGTCTCCGTTTACTATTGTTACCATTTTTACTTCCCGTCCCAAAGTATAGGCCACCCAGCCAAGAATGGCTCTGCTCACTCATAAATTACGGAGCACTCCGTATGGAGGAACGTACGTATCCAAACAATCATATCCGGTGCTACCGGGTGCCTGAGGCCCTGGGGCCCACTAACTTCGATTTTCGTGAACTGGTGTATACTCTAAGTGGGTCAGGGACCCATCAGAACCTGTGAGACGGGAGACCAGATAAATGGTGATGGGGCCAGAATTCTCGGGGCTTGTGTCTGGACTCTGGCTAATTAACCCGCTTGGGTCCTCCGTACCTGGTCTCGTTTACCCATGGTTGAACCCCCTGGTGGGAACACAAACTGTCTGCTAAACCCTCTCAATGCGAATGGAATGACAGATCAGACATCGCTAGCGGTCAGATAGTCATCAGAACTGTACTCCGAAGTGGGAAGGAGAGATTCAATACCATTGTGTGTGGACCGGGGTCGCTAGGAGACTGGATATCCCCATCGATAGGGCAACTATAAGGTTATTTACTGTCTGCAGTCCGATTAGTTAGAAGTTACGCGTTCCATGGGTCTTCACCTAGGCAGACAGATAGACAAGAGCACCAGCTCTGGGCACTGTAGGCTGTCACTGCAACGTTCCACAACCCCTTCTGGTCCAGATCATTGTTGTGATTGTTGGCTTTGTACTGTGCATATATATCCCTTTTGACGAACGACCGCTGATGTTCCCTTATGATGCTACCTTTCGCTTCTGTACTATATATAGTAGACTCGGCATGCATAATAAAGGTAGGAGTTAAGACAACAGCTGCACCTCCATTAATATGGTATGCATATTCCCCTTTGTACTGGGAGCTAAAAATCATGTAACAATCAGTACTGACAAATCTTGGAGCCTTTGAATTAGTACTAGATAATCCGCCCACTAATTAAAGCTCCCATCGACGATACAATCCTTATAAAACTTGCATTTCAAAACCATCCCAGCTGCAGGTTCTTGTTCACCGGCAGCTGTGGCTGTCTCATCCGCACTTGGCTACGCCACCGTTATATGCCACTGAAACCAGGCCAATAAAGACGTGGCGCCCTCCAATAACCCAACCACAGCACTAGTATCTCAGGCTGGTGTCTCAACGAAGATTCATTCCCAGCAGTGCACACGGGTGTTTTTTTCTGACTATCTTTCATCAGGCAAGAGAACTATCAACAGGAACTGAACTTCTCCAGTCTGTGGACGTGGCAGGCCACCATCTTGCACTCCAATCGATACAGTACACGGCACAGCGAGAAGAGACGGCTTTATGTCACACAAGTACCCCTAACATCAACATCTGTGAATTGGTTACGGCGCAGGAAGTATCACGGAAATAACACAGGCCAATGTTGCCCTATGTCGCAATGTTTTCAAGATAGAGTGGGCGCTATCTTTCAAGAGCATCCGCTTGAATTCGGAGTGTGAAAAGTGACCTCTACTTGCATGAATGCTATCATATATTCTTTCCAATATCACAGCTATAGCTTCCTTCACTTGTCCCTAGGGACTTTTTTGTGCATGGTCTGGAACGAGGGCAGACATACGAGAGCGGAGATCTCATCTCGGTCAAGGATATCAGAGCTGCGAGAAGCGTACAAGTCACGTTGGCGATGTCTTTAATGCACATGTCAGCTGAGGCCAGTGCCAGAGGAAATGGGAATCTACGGGCGTCACGCAATGTATATTTTCAAGCAGAATCACTGCCAACCAAGCTTTCCATAGTGCTGGGATAGTGCCATTTCCCCTGGGGACTCGACGCTTGGGCCTTCTGTGTTGGAAATCGGGCCATTTTTACCACTGTGTAAAACTGAATCCCACAACTCGACCTCGCTTGACTCTTCTTTCAGGCTACGTGAAACTTGAAAGATAAAACTAGCGTCTGGCATCATACTTCGGTGCTCTCTCACGGGCCCGTTTTAGGATAAATTCAAATTGGTATCATTCCAGGGAAGTACGGAGTCGTACGGAGGATGACACCGTGCCCGGTCCCACCAGGCCAGTCTGTTGTTCTCCACCCACGACAGCGTGCTATCCGCGAAAGGATTCGGTTCACCACCGTGGGTGGCTATACACAGTACAGGATGCTGATCAATGATCAAGAGATTACAGTACGGGTGGCTCAGAGACGATACCGCCAATGATTTCCAACGCAATATGCTCAGCCGCAATCCTCTCGCTCGTCTCAACGGTCTCATTAGGTTTTGGTAGGGCGCTCCTCCCAACGAAAGGCGACCATTCACTAAGACGAACTCCACATGGAACGTTTCAAGAAGAAAGGGATTCCATGGAACTAAACCGCAACCGTGCATCATCGCCATGTCATCAGGGTCAGCCGCTAAATCCTGGACTGACAGCTCTTGTGCCAATGAGATCCATGGCTGTGGCTGTGTGGAAATCCGCAGTTCAGGTGAGCCACACCCCGGACTCCCTGGTCGTGGCTCACCCCAAGCCAGTTAATCAACATGATAGGCGGACGTGCCCTTTGCGATAATCTCATTCCACGTCGTGCAGAATGAAAAAACTCGACGGACTTTTGTCGCTTGTTGGACCTCAGGAAGGCCAACGGTTACTATTTACAGCATTCTGCCGATCCCTCGCGTCGTGCGTGCGTTCGGACAGCGAAGCCGAGGCTTCCGATTACTCTATCAACGGAGATCAGCGACGAGAATAAAATACCGCGTATCACTAGTCTCTCTATTTCCCTGCCCTACGTGCGGCATTCTAAGACATGCTACGGTATACATGTTCTAAGTTCTGACATTCAATCCATGTCGACATAAGGCTCAATGAGCCTTAATCACAAATTCACCAGCCACCGGATCGCTCAATGCATGTTGGATACCCTGGGCCATAACCTCGTCCCACTTCTTCGATGCAGACAATTTACTTCCATATCGTCTAAACCCATGTGGCAGCCCTTTGAAGACATTAACATCGGTAGGCACCCTGCAAAGCACGAACCGTTAGCTGTAAGTTATTCTCACGCGAAACGGGCTCCTCACCCATTCTCGGCCAGCAACATCGCGAACAGCAGCCCTTCATCTCTCAAGGGATCCCTCCCTGCGATTCCGAACGTCGTAGGCGGCAATCCCTTGACCTCGTCCGCCGTCGCAAGCCCCGGATTAATGCGTCTATCAGCTCCCAACTCCGACCCATTCACCTCCGGCTTGAGCAACTGTCCAAACAAACGCATCCTGCTGACGGGGAGAATCGGCGCATGCTCGCACTCCACATAACTCGAGACAGAGGGATCACGAAGCTGCGCAACCAGCGACGCATAACAGTCCTCCGTAACAAGAGCCGGGATCATGAGCACCTGGCCCCGGACCTTCGGCCTCTGAGCCAACGATACATCCTTCCCGATGTTCTGCCCCAGCGTCAAAGACGCCGTCAGATAGGCCCCCGCCGAAATGCCCCCGACGACCACGTTCTCCGCCTCGCCGCCGATATCACCAATATGGTCATGGACCCAGTGAAAGGAATCCTCTGCATCATTCCATGCGGTCGGATACGTGTACTCCGGGGTATGACGGTAATTCACATTGACCACCACCACGGGAGATCCCGCAGCCACCTGGGCAACGACAATGCGCGAGCAGATCGCATCCTCCGAACTCAGAGTACCCATGATAAACCCACCACCATGGTAAAAGATAAAAACCGGTAACCGCTGCGTAGCAGGCACCGACGACGGCCGGTAAGTGCGAGCTTCGAGCGACTCTCCGTCGCGCGTCGGGATAGTGTAATCTTGCATGGACACCTGCGATACCAGATCTATTTCACCAGACAAGAAAAGAAAATATCCCGTAAGCCTGTAGACTTTCTCCAACCCCCCGAAAACCATAGCCACCACTCTCTCCTAGAAAAGGAAAAGGAACACAACAAACCTTCCTCAACCATAGCCTTCGCAGCCATAGCCTCGCGATCGCGATTTGCCGCCGCCTTCAGCTGCTCTATGCTCAAACCCTTGGGGATATCCGGGAGTGATTTCTCCAACTCGAGCCATTCTTCATGGGGCGTAGTATACTCTGAGAAATCGGCCATGTCGTTCAACGGTAGGAAAGAAATATCGATGTTATAATTGTATGTTACCGGTTTAGTGGAGATGTGAATTTACATGAAATCGAGCGAGAGAATGCAGGTTGATATTTGGAGGTTACCTAGGGTAAGTCCGTCACTAATCGATAAATATCCCACCCCCCCACCTTCTCCTTCACCTCGGTACTTGGGATTTTATAACTCTATCAATACTATTTCTATGCACTGCCTTACGCGTACACCCGAGGTATATATGATCATGATCTACATACCACACTTCTATTTTATACTTGTATCAATGAAGATGGTTGTTCAGCTGTGGTTGGCTCGTCTATTTCTGTTTTGGACAATAGGTATACTTTAGGTACCGAAGTATATGCATAGTATTCACTTCGCAGTAGTAAATGATTCTCAACACCATCAGGATCTCTATTCTCTACTGAGGGAGTCATGAGATAATGATTATTTCCACTCTCAAGTCCCTCATAAGTACTACAAGGCAGGCAATCACCAAGACCTACCTAAAAAGCGCCCTTCCCAGGCGTCGTATCACCATCCAAGTCCCCACAGCCCCATTCAAACGACGAGGGAACAAAGAACCTCGCCCCGGTCGAATTCCCATAAGCAAGACCCACGAGCGTTTCCCCTATAGACCTCAATCAGCTTCCATCCCAAGATAAAAAAAAAAA